ATGGGAAAGGAAGTAATGGCTAGAGGAGAGAAAGTGTGAGGAGAGAGAAATCACCTTAACACCACAGTCAAGGAGAAGTCAGCCTAACAAAAATGTCTGAAGAAGGAAGATTCTGAAAGTTTTTTTCTGCAGCCTGTCCCTAAGAAAATAGGTGGAGATGCCAGATGAGAGGCCTTTTAAGTAATCCAGCCTTTTGACAGTAACTCTTCACTAGGCAAATAACAGTTGATTGTAAAGTCATTGCAAGAATGCAAATGTTGATTTGACATTGAAATTGGTGCAGACTCTGAGGAAGCAACATGTTCTGTAAATGGCACATGGCAAGGCTATATAAATACTGTGGCTTCATGCTCTTGGTCAGAGGATAGTGGCTTTAGCCTAAGTGCTTTCCCTCACCAACATTACAAACACAGCACCTTTTGAGTTTGAAAGATCAAGGCTTACAGGCACTCGGAAGAGAACCCGGATTTCTCTAAAGGACTTCTTTGTTTAATCATAGATTCACCTCAACCCCTACCCAAATTCCTTGGGATCAAGTGCTACCAAAGCATTTACCTTGTTGGTTATCTGCCTAAAATTGTTGAGCTTTGTAAATCTGCAGTAATACTTTTGAGCTCCCAGACTTTGAGGGCATCAGTAAAGTAAAAAGGATTTACAGATCCCAGCAACCCTCTTGCCTGACCCTCTCACTAACAATTTTTTTTCCAGTGATGAACCAGAGGTCTGTAGACTTGTATAAGACCACAAAGGTGATCAGTACAGAGAGTGCTGTCACTAAGAAGTCATCATGACCCCTTTTTATGCAACCAGTCTAATTACCATGAGTCCAAGGCCACTATTAGAATGACAATCCCTCAATTTTTGTTCCTTCACTTCCCCTAACTTTATTCACGAAAGCATACCCTGAAAAATCTCGTGCTTTAATTTTTAACTTTTTAAAAATTTGAGTATAGTGATTTGACAAGATTGGACATTATACTGTGATCACCACAGGTATAGCTACCAACTGTCAACAAACAACTCTATTACAATATTATTGGTTATATTCACTTCCTGTGCCTTTTAGTCCTGTGACTTATTCATTCCATAACTGGAGGACTGTATCTTCTACTCCCCTTCACCCATTTTGCCCATCTCTGCACCCTCATTCTCTCTGCCAACCATTTTTTCTCTGTATTTATAGGTCTGATTCTGCTTTTTGCTGTTGTTTATCCATTTGTTTGTGTTTTGTTTTTTAGACTCCATGTATGAGTAAGAACATATGGTATTTGTCTTTCTCAGTCTGACTTATTCCACTTAGCATAATACTCTCAAGTTTCATCCATGTTGTTGCAAATGTCATGATCTCAGCCTTTTTGGGCTGCATAATACTCCATTGCATATATATATACCACATCTCCCTTATCTATTCATCTCTCAGTGGACATTTAGGTTGCTTCCATATCTTGGCTATTATAAATAATGCTGCAGTAAACATAGGGGTGCATATATCTTTTTGAATTTTCTTTGGATAAACACCCAGCAGTATAATTACTGGATCATACAGTGTTTCTATTTTTAGGTTTTTGAGGAACCCCATACTGTTTTCACAGTGGCTGCACCAGTTTGGATTCCTGCCAACAGTGCACGAGGGGTCTTTTTTCTCTATATACTCACCAACACGTATTACTTCTTGTGTTTTTGACTTTAGCCATTCTGACGGGTGTGAGGTTATGTCTTATTGTGGTTTGGATTTGCATTTCTCTGATGATTAGTGATGTTGAGCTTCTTTTCATGTGTCTGTTGGCCATCTGTATGTCTTTTTTGGAAAAATGTTTATTCAGGTCCTGTGCCCATTTTTTAATTGGATTGTTTGTTTTTTGGTGTTGAGTTGTATATGTTCTTTATACATTTTGGATACTAATCCTTTATCAAGTATGTCATTGGCACATATCTTCTCCCATCCAGTAGGTTGCCTTTTTGTTTTGTTGGTGGTTTATTTTGCTGTGCAGAAGCTTTTTATTTTGATGTAGTCCCAATAGTTTATTTTTGCTTTTTTTCCCTTGCGTGAAGAGACATATCTAGAAAAAAGTTCCTACAGTCAGTGTCAGAGAAATTACTGCCTGTGTACTCTTCTAGGATTCTTATGGCTTCAGGTCTCACATTTAGGTCTTTAATCCATTTTCAGTTTATTTTTGTGTATGGTGTTAGAAAATGGTCCAGTTTTATTCTTTTACGCAGAGCTGTCCAGTTTTCCCAGAACCTTTTATTGAAGAAACTGTCCTTTCCCCATTGTATATTCTTGCTTCCTTTGTCATAGATTAGTTGACCATATAATCGTGGGCTTATTTCTAGGCTTTCTACCCTGTTCTACTGATCTATGTGTCTATTTTTGTCCCAGTATCATACTGTTTTGATTACTACAGCTTTGTAGTACATTTTGAAATCTGCAGTTGTAATACCTCCAGCTTTGTTTTTCTTTCTCAAGATTGGTTTGGCTACTCAGGGTCTTTTGTGGTTCCATACAAATTTTAGTATAATTTATTTGGGAAAACTCATGACTTTAATAGTAGCATCCTCATAAATATCAAAGATTCATAGATTTGCTTTGTTATTGTGAAATACTTTCTGATTGGCTATGAAAATAGTAGTTTCAATAACAAGTAACACACAAAATAAAACCAAAAACTTATTATCCTGTACTGGGGTATATGGAAAATGCATTTACTTTTTTTTTTTTTTTTTTTTTAGCAGTTGTCTATATAGTACTCTATATATTATTCAAGTTAGATGTAGTGGTAAGATTCCCTATGTCTATATTAGTGGCTGGATTTGATACATTTAAAAATCTTTCTCATCAAAGCAGCTGTTATTAGATTCCTATGGAAGAGTGGAGCTGAGATTTTCTTTTTTTAATCACTTGAAATTTTTATTTCAAATCTTATTGAAATAGCTCTTTTATTCTCAACTAGATGAGTTTTTATAATATATCACTCATGTAGAAGCATAAAAATGGGAGTATGAACAAAATAAAGAATTAAGAAACTTAAGTCAATTTAATTAATTTAGTTAAGAAATTTTCAAAACAACTTTCCTGTAAACATCTTTATGAGGTAAAACAAATACAAGTATTTATGCAAGTATTTATACAATTTGATTTTTAATATATGCATACAATTGTTAAAACATCACAGCAATCAAGCTAACAAATATATCCACCAGCTTTAAAAGTTTCCTTGTAATCACCATAATCCACTTTTCCCTTCACACCATCTTTAGGCAACCACTGATCAGCTTTCTATAATTAAATATTAGCTTGCATTTTCTAGAATATTATATAAATGAAATCATAAGTACTCCATAGGTACTCTTTTTGGCCTGGCCTCTTTCACTCAGCAATTTGCAATTCATCCATGTGGTTGCATGCATCAATAGTCCATTCTTTCTATTGCTGAGTAATATTTCATGGTATAGATTAATTAGAATCTGTCTATTCACCAGTATGGGTCTTTTTTATTTGGAACAAAATACAGGTCCTCCACTTTTTCTGTCCATTATTCTTGAGAAAATTATTAGCTTCTATGATCTTTATGTTTCTCTTCTAGAAAAGTATGAGTTTAATGTCTATCTCATAGGACTTTTGCAAGAATTAAATCACTAAGTGCATTGCCTGGCATGTAGTGAATGCTCAACAAATATTAACTTCTTTTCTAAGTTATCACTCAATTGCATTACTGGTATCAGTTATGAGGTAACACTTTGCCTCCTACTAAAATGTTTTCATCCTTTTCTAACCGTCTTAGTGTTCACTTAGCTTGAACATTACCATGATGCCAGCTAGCCCCATTGTCTGTCCAACAGCCATAGGGGTACCAATAAAGTTAGCTCCCTAAAATACAATCCTTCTTTTGGATTATCTTGGCTTCTGTAACTGATGACAGGTTTTTCTAGTGTGGACATATCTTGGCTTCTGTAACTGATGACAGTTTTTTCTAGTGTGGACATATGTGCCCAGGAATGTCTACAGGTGAGACAGGGAGAGAACAATCAAGCCACAAGGGGGTCTGTTTCTAGAAGCTTAGAAGCTGTGTTTGCATTGCACATGTTCTCTTTTAAATGCGATGATATGTTCCTTGGAGGGGCTTGTGGAGAGGGGCCGTTGAAAAGGATTACGGATTTGGGGAAGCAACTAAAGCCCTCTTAGCCCACCGGTGGATGCCGCAACAGTTGAGTTCTCTTCATTTGCTTCTCCGAATTATTGTTTCCTCATTGCCGCTCCTTTAGCATGTGCCTGCCCTGAATTTTCCTGCCTAAATCAGACTTCTTCCATTAAAACAAATATCACTAAATAAATGGTTTTGATTTTCTCTTTCTTCATATTCTTCATCAACATTATGTCCAGCGAAGCTACTGAATCTAGTTCAGTTGGCAGATGGCAGCGGACAAAGGACCTTTACTCTCCCTCCTTGGGTATTGTGAGTGGGGGTCGGGGCTAAGGCTGAGCACCAGGCAAAGAAGGCTAAGCCAACATATTTCATAGTCAGTGGGACCAGCCTAGTTTGCCCTAACGCCAATTCTACTCACTTAAATATGCAGGTTTTTGGTCACCAAAAAAGGCTGTGGGTGGTAGCGTGTAGAGGTGGGGTGGGATGAGGTGGGTAAAAGGTCAGTGACGTTGTGAGTGCGAACAGCATGTAGCCTAAAGATGCTGAGTTGGCATTTCTACATAAGGAAGACTATCATATTGCCATTAGGAATTCCTTAATGGAATTAGGAATGACACGAGCATGGCTGTGCTGGCTATGAACTTTGAAGTCCTCTGGCATGTATAGCACTGTCCACATACAGAGGCCCCAGTTGATAAAAACAACTACAAAGTAATTACCTTCTCCACTATTCAGAGAGGCAGAGATTGTTTGTTTCATTTTTGTACCTTAGTGATGAACAGGAACCTGCACCCCACCAAGTTTTTCTTGGAAAAGATATATTTAGAATAACATAATGCTTTTATATTTTATCAGGATAACGCTATAATATGCAGAAATCTACGAATTCTGATACCTCTGTGGAAACACTGAATTCCACCCGTCAAGGCACTGGAGCTGTGCAAATGAGAATCAAAAATGCCAACAGCCACCACGACAGACTGAGCCAAAGTAAATCCATGATCCTCACCGATGTTGGGAAGGTCATTGAACCCGTAAGTCAAATACCCTAAAACCCCCATGTTCCCAGATACAGAATTTTGTTAAAAAAGAAAAAAAAAGAGAACTAATTAGCTTTATTTTATTTGTTTTCCTAATGTGCATGAGAAAACTGTTTTTGTAATGCATTTTATCTTGCCTACTTATAGTCATAATAATATCCCCAGTTGCGAGAGTGGAGCTGGGCTTAATCCAGAGTGATAAAGTGGATTTGGAGCTAGACTGAAGAGCACCTTTGACTCATTTTAAGGGCCTCCACTATCATGCTTCAGTGTTATAAAAATAATGAGGTTATGCTAGCATGTGGTGTTTGTACTTCCAAATACAGTACATCACTTTGAAAAGCCAGAGGCTAAAATTAGCTAAGAATGAACTGAGGGGGGAAAAAAAATCTTTAAAAAAAATGTGAAAATCTCTTTCTTAAAATCTCCCAACAATACATAATATTGGAATTACGATTTGATTTGGAATGAGCTTAAATGGTGTGGCGATGGAAGGTTTGGAGAGGAAGCCATTTTGTCTCGATAATGTGTCATTAGGAAGATCTGAAATAAAATAGTTAGAGATGAACTCTACTGCCAATTGCGTCCCTGCCCCTGCACGCATCCTGAGCCACTAAACACACTGATTGCGATGAGTCTCCTCTGGTTAATTTTCTTCCATAATGGTGGTAACTTGCAGCTGAGGCCATAGGATGTTACAAAATTATTTATGCAATGTTAGCCACTCTTTTGGACCCCAGATCTATTTTGTTTCTCACACTGAGAGCAAGAGCGGGAAATAGGTTAGCTGGGGACAGGCTGCGAGTCCCAGTCACTCTGCAGAAACATGTGAGCTATTAATTGAGTGTTCTGTTAATATCGTAGGGGCCCATGAAATATTCAGCTCCCTAACTGAGTTATTAAATGAGATAAACTTGCTGAGTAGCATGTTACCGATTATATTTATTCTCTGTTTTCACTCAAATTTCAAGTGCGCGGAAATAACCCACCACCATCTCAAGAGCTTGAGAAGTACATGGTTTTAATCATGCTTTCTTCAGGTATTATAGACAGATTTAGCATGAGGAAGCCAGTGATTATATGTCGGGAGTGGGAGATACATCCTGAGATAAGTTACCGGAGAGATGTGTTTTTCTTTATTCACTCTCTCATTTAAAAGTATTGTCTGCTGGGAGGCACAACGCTGGCAGCCTGACTTTGCTTTTAAACCAGCTAAAATGTTCCTCAACTATGAACTTAAGACAGTGGTTAGAGTAAATTATTGGAATCTCTATAATGCATTAGCAGTAAGAACTGTACCTTTGAAAAAGTTTAAAAGTTAAGTATATTTAATGATGCCTAACATATTTTATTGGCTGTGTTTAACAAAAGGCACTATGCCGCAGTTGTTTTTGACAAGCATGAAAACATCACAGCATGAGACTGCAAAAGGAATTATGGAGAGAAATTACAAGTGATCCATCTCTCAATGAATTATCCACCTCAATAGCCCGCAGAACTCAGCTACCAATTAACACCTACTTTATTACATGTTGGGATGTACTTAATAACTTTCATGTGTTTATGCACTATTACCTTGACTGATGCCTCTTGTACAATTAGGCATAATTGGCATATCAATATGCAAAAGTTAAAAGGATTAACCCTCTTAAAACTAATGAGCATTTCTGTATCCAGCTGCTAAATGAGACAAAATTAGCATTTTTCACTTTTGGGCAGGATTTTATCATGCAGTTTCTCATTGTTGATAATACCTTGTTACATAACTTTAGTTTGGGGGGTTATATGCTGGACTGCTAGAGAAGAGTTTTCCAAAGTTAAATTAACTATAATTATCCCAGCTTTTGTTTCCGCATTCTTAGCCTGGGCAATATGTATTCCTCGATAAGGAACAAAAATAAAAGTTACTTTTGGTTATGTGTGCTCAGTGCATAATTATATAAAAGGGGTATTTTAGTGAGGATATGTCATTTCACTGAGAAAACTTGGCTCAGAGATACTGTATTGAAAGCTTGCCATGGCACTAATTTTCTTTCTGTCTCGGTTCTTTTCATCTCTTTTTTCCATGCACAATTTTCTGACTAGATACTGACAGAATGTAAAGTATTTTGGCATATTTATTCAAACAAGCCTGTTAAAGATATCTGCTCAAGCTAAACTAAGAACTTGATTTTTCAGAAGTTGGAGGTGGGGGTGAGGTCAAGGGGGGAGATCTTCAACTTAGGAGAGGCGGGAGGAGATGTATTCTAAAAATGTGTGCACGTGTCACATGCAGAATGGTTTGTCGCAACAGAGACACTTACATTTAATCTGTACAGAAAAAAAATTAGGACTACTTAGAGACACACATATATACGTTTTGCATCGTATTTAATGTATATGGCACATATTATACTACGTGTCCCCTGGCATAACTATCATGGAAATCTAATATGGACTTATTGGAGTATATAGCATAAGAATCTGATATTACATTCGCAAAGATTTAACTTATTACAGAAAATGATAAAAGGTTCTTGGGTCCAATCAATTGTATAATTTTGTCATTAATTCATAAAATTCTCTTTATTATTATGTTCAGTTAAAAATATGTCTAACATGACTGTGAACTTGGAACACCATATAAAACTCTCCTGGATATGTCAGAAGAGCCTATATTCTTGGTATCCTAAACAGAGGAGCAGTATGAAATGCCATTATAAACATTTATTCGACCCTGTGCTATGCAAACACAGGTGAATTCACTTATTACGTTAAAGTTTTCATTACCTAAGGGCTGCACGGAAGCATTTCGTTAAAACAGGTATTAATCCTCCATTAGTATTTCATTGGCTGTGTGCATTGTTTTCTTTAAACACCAAATGATCATTTTTTAGGTAGTTAATAAGATCAATGCCTTTTCAAAATCTGAAAAAGCCACTTTGCTACCTGGCCAGTGTTGGAGAGGTGGGAAGTTCGGACACGGGAGGGTGTGGTTAGCAGAAAATTGCCTCTCTGTAAGAGAGATCTGGAGACCTCCGCTTGGTGGGGAAGGAACGCTCTTTGGTCTCAGTGATTTGTTGTCTCATCCTGAGCACCGGAGTGAGACCTCTTAAAGGTGGACTGCTTATTTGCCTGAATGTGCGAAAGCCAGAAGCAGACGGCTTAGTGAGCGTAAATGGGGGGCAAGTGAAGTGTGCCTCTTTAAGGGCTGAAAGGCTAATGTGCAATCCAGCAAATAGCTACTGCAAAAGGTTTAATGCGGCTTTGATGTTATTTATAAGAGGGAAGTTCGAGCCTACTAGACAGTTTAGAATAGATATTAATGAAGAGTTTAAATAGCCCAAATCAGGGAAATTGCAGACCTAGGATTTTCAGACAGGAGCAGTTTCGGCATTTAATGCTGGTGTCTTAAGCAGCCACGTGTATGAATATGCACCATTTCCATCTTGTAAACTCCACAGAAGTGCAATACTTTATTCATGGCCCTCATGGACAGGGAAATATCTTTTTATTACTGTTAGGATAAGGACTTAGGTCGAGCCATTCCTAAATGCTAACGTACACGACTCCTTCCGCTTCCATTAACAGACTGTGCATGTTCATTTTTCTTTTTTAATATATTATAAAGAAAAAGAGGAAACAATTTTCTTTTGTTTCTTACTTCTGTGATTATAGGATACTTGCCAAAGTTGTGGCTAGCCAAAAAGGCAGACATAAAAATTGCTACTAAAAATATAAGCCTTCTGTTTAGCAGAGTTTTTGAGAAATATTATGAGACTGTAGGACTTGTCCATGTTTACTTCCAATCAAGCTTATAGTTAGGTTTGAGGCTTTGTTTGTATAAATTGTCCTGAAGTGGATCCTGATATTTAATTAAAATGACACTAAATCACATTGAATTGATAAGACTTGGCATCTCAAACAAAGGTAATTGCCCGTATTGGTTTTCTGCAAAAATAGCGCTGCTTGGAAAATGTGCAGCCAACACAGACTGTCAACTCCATTTATAGATCAATATGTGAAAACCATTGATCAAGCAGGCATGTATAACAGTAACACTTTGCATTTATTTGTTGTTTTTATACCACATTAAGGCTTACAGGATTATAGGCTTCCTAAATATTTTGACTTCCTCATAAATATATGATCTGTTGCATGTTAATTAAATGAGAGTCTGCAGCCATTTCTAAAATTGTTTTTAGTTTGATGATTTCCTTTTATTGCTGTGGATCGTATGATCTGAAAATGGATTAGTTTCCTTCTGCATAAAGATTATTAAAGCTTATTTTAATGTGTCCTATTTAGTGTAAGATGTGGCTGCCTTTTTGCTTTGAAAAATATAGATACAGACAATTATTTTCTCTTAGCGAGTGGCTGATCTTTTTTTATTAACTGAGCATTCTCAGTGCTCAGGGTAGAATTATTCCCTGACATATTTTGCACACTCTGTAGATAACGGGTCTTCTTGATTTCTCCTGATAGAATGTTTTTCTTTTTTTCCTTTTCTTCTTATCTAGCTCTGTAGTACAGGCATCTGATCAAACATTATGTAGAAAATAAACTGATCATCTCAATTAAATTCTAGCCACACACAAATATAATTTGAATTCTATTTTTCTCATTTGAGAACAAGCCTTATGAACTGTTCTTGTACATTGCATTCTGCAGTTAAATCTTTCTTATCTCATCAATGTAAGGACAGTGTTTTGTTCCTAATCTTTATTGGACTATTGTGGATGACATTTGTAAGCCATTTTGGTTTATAAGGGAAAGCTAGAGGACAGTGGAGTGAGACTCTCCATAGATCCAAGCCTCAGATATGACTACGCAATAATGTGTCTTCCACTGCAATTTTCTTTGCCACTGAGAGGTCAATTTTGTTGAGAAATCTTTTTATATCCTCTATATACATTAGGAGTGCTGCTTTCAAGACAATACTTGGCTTTATATACAATATTAAAGCAGTAATAAAAGAAACCGGATTTCAGAAATAGAAAAAAATACTCATGAAA